GTGGGCAGCGAGGCCGTGCGGGCGGAGCTGGAGGAGATCACGGGCAGCCCGGAGCGCGTCATGGTCTACCCCGGCCCGCAGGACCTGTTCAGCCAAATCCCAAAGCTGCACGGGAAGCTGTGCAGCCGGCAGCGCCCAGGTAAGGACCGGTGCCTGCTCTGGTGCCAGCCGCAGACCGGCTTCACCGGACTGGGGGCCAGCTGGGCAGTGGCAGGCTTTCTCCTTTTGGTAACGATTTCATCAGGGTCCGTGCTGGGGGCTGGAACCACAGCCTCATTCTTTTATATACTAGTCCTGTCATGATTAACTTTGTCGGTATACTGGTCAGTAAAATGGGACTAAGAGTAGCACCCCCGAGGGGCTTTTGTAAGATTAAGTAAGACAAGCAGCTTAACACACTTAGTACCGAGTAAGCTCACTCAGTAAGTGCACTCCGAGTGGTAGGTATTGATGTTTATTATTATTCGTGGTTGTTTATTGTTATTGTTGATAAGGAGCTCTGAACTTAGTAAATGTGCCATACAAGAGCAGCTTCCCAGTTTCTTTTTGGCAAATCAGAGAAAGAAATGCCTTCCTAGCACCCCCACTCGCCTGCACTGGCACACACACCTGGAACAAACCTTTCGTGAAATACTTGTCCTTTCTGAAACTGGGGATGCGTTCTGACCGTAATTCTGTTCAGTTTTATGACCCATATTGATGTTGAGACCCACCATGGCAGGGTACTCTGGAGAACACTGCCCTGGGGAGGAGACATTTCCACCTAGGGAGCAGGGGCCTGGTCCATGGTCAGAGACATAGTAGCTGAAACAGATCCTCCATGGGGAGCCCCGATTTCTCCTCTAGAGCGGTCAGCAGCAGGGAGCTGCATGTGGAATTCAGCTTCTCAGCCCCCGATGTCACTCTCACCAGAGGTGAGACCTTCCCTTCTGCAGGGAAGGGACAGGGGTCTGCCTGCCCACTTCCAGGGTGCCCCTCCAGTCTCATCTCCCCTTGGCAGCCAGAGGGTTTTTTTAAAAAAAATAGTGACAACAGTGGAGTCCCCATGTACTCCACATCCAGTGTCCCTCTTACAAGATTTTAACCATGTACAGTTGTCACAATTAATGAACCAATATTGACACATTATTATTTATTTATTTATTTATTGAAGTACAGTCAATTAGTGTGTCAACTTCTCGTGTACAGTACAATGTCAAGTCATGCATATACGTACATATATTTGTTTTCATTTTTTTTTCATTAAGGGTTATTACAACATATCGAACATAGTTTCCTGTGCTATACAGAAGAAACTTTAAAAAATCTATTTATATGTATACGAGCTAACATTTGTAAATTTCAAATTCCCAAATTTATCCCTTCCCACCCCCTTTCCCTGGTAACCATAAGATTGTTTACCATGTCTGCGAGTCTGTTTCTGTTCTGTAGACGAGTTCATAGTGTCCTTTTTTTTTTCTAAGATTCCACATATGAATTATATCATATGGTATTTTTCTTTCCCTTTCTGGCTTGCTTCACTTAGAATGACGATCTCTAGGTCCATCCATGTTGCTGCAAATGGCATTATTTTAGTCTTTTTTATGGATGAGCAGTGTTCCATTGTATAAATATACCACAACTTCTTTATCTAGTTATCTGTTGATAGACATTTAGGTTGCTTCTGTGTCTTGGCTATTGTATATAGTGCTGCTATGAACATTGGGTGCATGTATTTTTTCAAATTAGAGTTCCCTCTGAATATACACCCAGAAGTGGGATTGCTGTAGGTCTGTTTTTAGTTTTCTGAGGAATCGCCATACTGTTTTCCACAGTGGCTGCACCAAGCTACATTCCCACCAGCAGTGTAGGAGAGTGACCTTTTCTCCACACCCTCTTCAGCATTTATTCATGGACTTCTGAATGATGGCCATTCTGACTAGTGTGAGGTGACACCTCGTTGTAGTTTTGATTTGCATTTCTCTGATGATTAGTGATATTGAGCATTTTTTCATGTGCCTCTTAGCCATCTGTAGACACATTATTATTTATTAAAGTCTATACTTTATTCAGACCTCCTTAGTTGTCACATAATGTCCTTTTTCTGTTCCGAGGATCCCATCCAGGACACATTACATTGAGTCACCTTGTCTTCTTAGGCTCCTCTTGGCTGTGACAGTTTCTCAGACTTTCCTTGTGATGGGGTGGTTTTTTAAAAACCAATAAATGAGAGCCTCTTACTCCATCCTTTACATAATGGAACAGGTGAAGTCCCAGAGCTCAGTGGTGTCCAAGGTGCAGGTGTGTATTCCTCTCATGTCACAGTTCAGAGGTGAGCAGCCTGGGTAGCAGGGTGGCTAGGCTGTGTTATGGTTTCACCTCTAACTCCAAGGTCAGTTTCTCAGACAGCAGGAAGAGGGCAATGGGGGAGTGGAAGGCAAGCAGGTTCCTTTTGAGGACATAACTTGGAAATTGCACAATTACTTTCAGTCACATCCCATCAGATAGAACTGGTCACGTGGCCACACTTAGCTGCCAGGGAAGCTAGGAATGTGGTCTAGCTGGGCATTCATGTGTCCTGCTGATATTCTAGGAGAGGGTGGAGGACAGATATGCAGTGGCCAGACAGCAGACTGGCTGACCTGGGCTCTGCTTACTGCAGTGCAGTCCTCACTTTGCTGCCCCCAGAGATCCACTCTGCTTGCTTTTTCTGCAGGCTGCCAGGCCCAGTCGCTGGACCTGGTCTTCATGTTGGATGCTTCAGCCTCAGTGGGGCCTGAGAACTTCGCCCAGATGCAGAGCTTCGCGAGAAGCTGCGCCCTCCAGTTTGACGTGAACCCAGACGTGACGCAGATTGGCCTGGTGGTGTATGGCGGCCGGGTCCAGACTGCCTTCGGGCTGGATACCCACCTCACCCACGCTGCGGTGTTGCGGGCCATGAGCCAGGCCCCCTACCTGGGTGGGGTGGGCTCGACAGGCATGGCCTTGCTGCACATCTACGACAAGGTGATGGTGGTCCACAAGGGTGCCCGGCCTGGTGTCCCCAAGGCTGTGGTGGTGGTCACGGGTGGGAGTGGGGCAGAGGATGCGGCTGTCCCTGCCCAGAAGCTGAGGGACAACGGCGTCTCTGTCTTGGTGGTGGGCGTGGGGCCTGTCCTGACGGAGGCACTGCGGAGGCTCGCAGGTCCCCGGGACTCCCTGATCCACATGGCAGCTTACGAAGACCTGAGGCACCACCAGGACATGCTCATGGAGTGGATATGCCGAGGTGAGTGGCTGCCTCCAGGAAGAGGCCCGAGCCTTCACGTACACCATTCCAGGAAAGCAGCTCCTCCCAGCTGCCGGGGCCTCCTGCGTGCCGGGCTCTGTGCTGAATCCCACGCTCACATGAAACCCCGCAGGGAACGTGTGCCCAGCTGTCCCCATTTGGCAGACAATTTAACACAGGCACCTCTTCCCAGACTTGAGAATGAATGCACCCCACTTAAACAGAAGACTTTGTTAGGATGCCCACAGGACCCCACGCTGGCACTGACCTTGTTAGCAGCAGACAGCCAGGCCAGCCTGACTCCGAGGCTCCCTGTTGGCAGTGACATCCTTTCCATGTTTTTAAAAGTCTGTGGCCCTAATGATAATAGTAAGCACTGCCGTGTGCACAGCTCACCAGAGAGTCTCCAAACACCTGTGGGAAAGTTGGGTGGAGACTGGGTCTCTGACTAGCTGTGCAGTTTAGGGTCCAGCCGTGTGCTAACCTGTTGCCCAAGGGCCCATGGAGACACCAACATGTATAAGACTCTACTCCAGGGGCTTCGCCTCTGTCTGGGCTGCCTGGGAGGAGGGTCTCTGGGGCTGACCCAGGCGGGCCTGCTGGCTCGTCCTCCCTTGCAGAAGCCAAGCGGCCAGTTAACCTCTGCAGACCCAGCCCGTGCCTGAACAAGGGCACCTGCGTCCTGCACGACGGGAGCTACCGCTGCGAGTGCCGTGCCGGCGGGGAGGGCCCCCACTGTGAGCGCCGTAAGTGGGGCTCCTGCTCGCTCACTGGAGCTGGGTGGGGGCGGGGGGTGTGCATCCTCCTAGGCCCCAGGACCGAGCCGAGGGAGGTTCTCGGGCATTGATGGAAGGAATCACTCTTTTGTTCACTAGTGCTTCAAACATTTAGTGGGTGCCTCCGGCCTCCCAGGTGCCGTTCTAGGTGCTGGGAACAGAGCAGGAAACGAGACAGTAGGAACCTCTGCCCTCATGGAGCTTCCACTCCAGTCAGGGAGGGAGGCAGCAAATAAGTGCCACGTGTAGTGTATTAGGTGGTGCCAAGCACAGTCTACTTAAAGAAAATGTACGGTGACTGGGAGGAAGGCTTCCCAGGGTGGCCTCGGGCAGGAGCAGAGCGGATCCAGGGCGCAGACTGCAGGCCCGGATCCGGGTGGGTGCGTAGATGTGCAAGTGGTGGGGAAGGCAGTTCTTTTTTGAGTGTTCGTCTGCTCAGTGAGATGGGACCGTCCATCAGCTAAGAGAGAGGATGGGGAGGAAGTTCTGGCGGTTTGAGGAGAGAGGAGAATCACCGTCCAGGGGAAAGACACAGAGAACGAGTGTCGGGCAGCATCCCGGGCCCACTGGTGGCCACAGTTCCTGGATTTAAAGTGAGAACAGCCAGCAGCAGCTAGAAGACGATTCCCGCTGGAGCCCAGGGTCTCCAGGCACTGGCAGAGGCGGGCTTCCGAGGGCCGGGAGTGACGTGAGGGGCCCCTTCTGCTGGGCGTACAGAGTAAGAGCGAGACGTGATGGGGCCCGTTAGGCTGCTGGTTGGTTGAGAAGAGGACTCAGACACTCCTCCGTCAGTGTGCACTTCTTTCCCAGGGACCTTGAGGGGAGATTCCCCCGGGATACGTGGCTCCAGCCCAGAGCCTGCAGGAGACCAATAGCCGCCCTCCCAGCTGCTACCGAGAAGGCCCGGGCCCCCTGGGCGCTGAGGGGGGCCTGCCCTCAGCGGAGCGTCCTGTCTCGTGGGGCCCTTTGAGTGTCTGCCTCTGGCTGTGTCCGGAATCCTCCTGCCCCGCTTCCCGACTAAGAGGAGAAGAGAGGGCTCGGCTGGAGACGACCCTGCTTAGGGACGTGGTGGCAGTGGATTTCACCCGCTAACAACGATGTTGAAAACTCTTCACGTGAAAAGTAAGTACTTTCTGGGCTGGACCTGGTTGTGCCCGGCCGAGCTGGTGTCATCTGCCACCTTTCCCCTGAGGAGGAACAGAGGAACCTGGAGACTTCTGATGGCCTGTTGGAAGCTCACTTTGCCCACGACAAATGCTAAATAGAATGCTGTTGGGACAGTCATGCCCAACAGACGGCAGCGATGCGGGTGTCATTCAGAGCACTGCCGCCGTGGCGTTTCAGGATGGACCCGGCGTGGACCTTCTCACACATCTTTCCCCTGAGATGTCCTGGGTGCATTCATTCTTAGTTTGACAAGGTGCTTGAGTGGCATTTGTGCCTTATTCTGGGACTGGATGTGTGTGCGTGTGTTGTGGGGGGAGTTGGAACGGCCAGACTGGAAGGTGAGCGATTGCTTGTGAGGGGTGGGCTAAGTATGCAGACAGCCCGGGTCTCCAGGGGACACATGAGCTTGGCCTGGGCACTGAGCAGCACTCCCTCCCGGGGGCTTCTTAGAGTTTACTTAGGAGGGTTAATTGTGGGGTGTTTCTGAGTCCTTGTCTTACTCTGCCTTTTGGGAACAAAAAGGAAAATTCTTAAACTCAATACAGAATAAAGAAAGTTAGGGGACTTTTGCTTTTTTAGGCATAAATCTCATGTTGTCTAGATTTTGGTTTTATTTTGCTTTTATGCCTCGTTTTTAAAGGACTGTTTCAAAGAATGATGTTGACTGTTTCACAGGATTATTTGTATCTAAATGGCAAAAAGGCTTAGCTGGAATATTGTCTGGTGAGCTAGGCACGTGCTCACCCCCGCAGCATTTAGGGATCAATTTCCCCCCTGGGTAGCTGGATTTTCAGTAGAAGCTTTTGTAAATTTGAAACCAGATAGTTTTTCATAGAAATACTTTAATGTGATGTTTTATATGCAAACATTCAAGGCTACCTTGATTTAAATACCGCTTGGCTTTGAGAACTTCAGGATTTCTGGTGCTAGAGAAGTTCTCGAAAGGTTATCACCGTGGTTTTTGTTAGATGTTAAAAATGAGTCCGGTGTGCCAAGCACTGTGCATGACAGTCATTTGCATTCAAGGGATATTTTCATTCCTATTATTACTCTTGCCTTGACAGACGGCGACATCAGAGCAGGGTCACATGTCCACCTTGGCAGGTGCCAACAGCTGATGTCAAAGAATTTACATGAATCCATTGTCTTTAACAGCAATGTAATCGTTTCGTAGTGTAGACTCTTGGTCTGGTTCAGAGCTGATATTTGGATGTCCCATTTGAACTGGACTTAAAAAAAAACTAAAACTGTGGGCCCTGGGCTTACATGTTAAAGGATATACTGTTTCTATTTTTAGGTCGCAGCCCTTGAACTGTTTTGTTTTACCTTTTCAAGTGAAGGTGCCACTAAAGAGGTCAACCCTTTCAGTGTCCCTGGTGCATCAAAGGGAATTCCTAACAAGATAGCCTTAAGCCATTTTTTTTTCCCCAGCCAACCCTTTTTCTTTTCAAAGAAACTAGCTTTTAATCATACATGTAATATATAAATTTGCTCTCCTTGGAAAAACATTGCAGGTAGGTCATAAAGTAAGATTTTCTCTGAATGACCCTGATTCCGGCCAACTTGCTAAATGTTCTAGTTCTAATAGTTGATTATTTGATTCTCTTGCTTTTCTACAAAGATATCGTTTACACGTGATGACAGTTTTGTCTCTTGGTGGAATGTTATACTCCTTTTTAAAACATGATTCTGGAGGTCCTAGACAAGAAAAAGTAGTGGCAACAGCATGTATCTGGTCCCTGACTTGAAGGGACTTTTTCATCAGTATGTTACTTCCTGTGGATTACTTGATAGGCAAAGCTTACTTCTATTGCTGGATTACAAGGAGTGTTTTATTAGAAGTGTTGAGACTTGTGGTTTGCTTTTCTGCTTTCTTTGAGATGATTCCCCCTCCACCACATGTAATCTGTTAATATGACAAATTACCCATTAGTATATTTTCAGTTGTTGAACCACCGTTGATTTCTTGGATAAATGCTATCTGGCCATGATACTTAATTCTTTAAACACTGCTGAATTTCATTTGCCAATATTTTTAAAGCTTTTTTTCATCTATGTCCAAGAATGAGATTTAGGTTTTCTCCCACAGGATGTGTTGGAATTTTGGTGTGAGAGCTTTGCGACCTTTCTCAAATGGAAAATACATAGTCCTCAAACCTTCAATCTGCTATATTCATAGCATTTTCTTACAAGGTAAAAAGTCTGTCTTATCAGTATCTGAACTTCAGGCTTCCTTTTCATTTCTGCCATTCAATATTGCCTTAGGCCATCTTTTTATTGTTTTAGTCTTTTCAATGAGTGAGAAATTTGGTTTTGTCATTTTTTAAAACAAGCATGTTTATGCTATGAACTTGCTTAATTATTACTACTCGGGCAACTTTCCAAGTATTGGTATGTTTCTTTCCCCCAGGAATTATTTAGGAGTGTATTTAACTTCTAGGAGTACTGATTTTTCAATTAGGTATGATCAGCTTCTGAAGATGTTACTTACAGGTTACACTATTAAAATTTTCTTTCAGCCTTTTAAGGAGGTTTAAAGTCTCCTGCTAAGATCCCACCTTGTTGTTCTAGCAGTTTTCACTGCACATAGTTTAAAGTTCAGTGTGTAAGTAACCATGATGTTTCCCCTTGCAGGCTGTTGTCCCAAGTCTCTCCATGAAAGACAAGAAAACCCAAAATACAATTAACATTTTATTAAAAAAAAAAAATCTCACTCACCACTTGGGACACCAAGTATTTATGACAAAGGAAAGAAATGCCCTGGGATTAGAAAGACAAAAAGACCTTTAGTTCTCAGGAACCAGGGTTAGAGAACGCTGGTTTGGAGCCCCCAGAAATGAGGCAGAGATGCTAGTTGAAATGTTTCAGCCTGTGTTAACAGTGCCATCGGAAGAGAACCGGCAGCACACAGGACAGCACTCCAATTTTGAGAGAAGAAAGCAACCACCGAAAACAAAATTCACCCCTTTTTCCTTGGGAAGGGCCTGGACATTACGCACAACTTAAAAAACCGGGACTAAGAGAGCATTATATTAAATAACTCTTCCCTTAAAAATGACCTCGCCACAGGACTGAATCTGTAAACACAGGGTAATCTTGTTTCTATGGTAATGTAAAAAGTCAGTTAAATCTGCAAAGACACTTTTGACTGTTCTAAATTACAAGATTTTAAACATTTTCTTCTATATAATACAGCATCACAAAATTTTATTTAAAACCAATTGATTCAGGCCTGTTTAAGGCTGAAAAAAAAAGTCCTTAATTTATTGGGAACTGTGCCTCAGCTTGGTCCCAAATATTTCCCCCATCACCATTTTTCAAAAAACCACAGATGGTTTACATAGTGGAAGAAAAGGACAGTTTAACCCCAGACACTGCTAAGAATTGGATAGGAGATGCCAGTCAGGAGCTTAGATCTTCTTGATCACCAAAGCCATGTGATCAGTGGGACCGGGCCCTGCTACCTTGATTTCTCTTCCACAGAAGTGTCAACATCAGAAGCTTTTCACTTAAAAAAGCTTGATCAAGCAATTGATGAAAACTTCAAGGAAGAAACACAAAATACCCCTAAACACAGCAATGTCTTGTTTACAACGAATAGACTAAGTAACAAAAAGGCTTTTTTGGAGATCTGTTGTCTTACTTCCTTTGGCTCTCCAAAGGGACAGAGCCTCCTCTTAGCTGAAGCTTTCCATCCACAGAACCCCAGCGCTTCCTTTTGCTTGTAAACAGACTCACCCTTTCACAGAGTTGCTGCTTTAATGAAGACGGTAACACAGCAGGATTGTCACCAAGGTCCGTATCGACGGGAGGGTCTTTAGACGAAGCTTGTTTCCTAACTCGTTCCTTTCTTCTCCCATTCCTAGGGTACCAGTCAAACACCAGCATCCCCCAACAAAGAAGAAAGTTAGTTATCCTCTGTAGCAACCTACCTCTAAGCAGAAGCAGCTACGAGTAGGGACAGCAACTGAGGTTCAGCCCTGTGTGTTCCCCACCGCTTGATTAAGAGATGGCTGAGGCCATGGCGCAGCAGAGGGTGGGGCAAGGATTTCGGCCACGGCAGTGTTTCATGTGTTTGTGTGGATTTAATGCTTATTTTAAGCACCTGCACCAATGACTGTCTCCAGCAGGTAAGCAGGACAGAAACAAGGAGCAGAGTCTGCCAAAAACACAGGCAGCTCTAGGCATGTTCTTTACTGTACAAACGAGTAAAGGATTCATAACACTTTTCATCCAGCCCTCAGGGAAAAACCCAGTTGGCATCTGCTCCTTGTTTACCACTTACTGAGCCTTTGCCACCAGCTGGCTGGGCCACTTTAGGCAAATCACGTCACCTGTCTGAATCTGCTGCTTTAGTTTTCCTGGTAGAAGTCCTTTAGTCACTGAGGTTTGGTTTGTTTTTTTTTTTTTTTTCAAGTTATTGGAAAAACTCTCCAGCCCAAGTCTGTCTCTGAACTGCAGCTGTCCCCCTGGAATTACTGATAACCACGTGGTGGTGCATGGATTCAGATACCCTCAGGCTGACGCGTCAGGTCACCAAATTGAGCGCAGGCACCTTTCTGGTTGGTCTCTGCTGAAGGCACAGCGAAGCCCTAGCCCCTGCCTCTCTTCTGCTGAGAGCAGTGCCCCCCCCCCCGGGTCAGGAGGGAGCCCTGCCGTAGAGACAGTTCTGCTGTCTACCAGCAGCCCTGAAAGAGGCCGGGAGGGACCACTTACCTTGGCTTTCTGGAGGACAGTGCCTTTGCCTGTGACCATGACTGACAGAGGCCTATTCTTGAGCGCAGTTGCGGAGTTGACTGGGGTGCAGTCGGGGACAGGAGCTAGGGTGGCAGCTTTGGGCTGTGGTGATGGGAGAGAGCCAGGGCACAGAGTTAAGGAGAGGGAGGTGGGACCCAGCCCCACCTAGCCCCAGTCCAGGAGGCCCTGCCAGCAGCTCAGAGGACCATGGCTCCCAGACTCACTCGGGGGCTCGCGTTCTCCAGGTGGGTGGTGTCCACGGTGGTGCCCAGCGTCACGGGCCCTGCCTCGGCCTTCTTCAGGTTGTCCTTCACCTCCACAATGCTGAGCTCCAGGTCCACACGCCTGCGCTCCTCCGTCCTGCACTCCTCGTCAATCTCCTTCAGCTTCTGCTCCAAGTTGGCCACCATGGCCTTGTCTGCAAAGATTAAGTCAGCTGCAGGGAACAGCCTTTCCAGCCAGATGCCCTGCTTGGGGGGAGGTGGGATTTATACACTCCCCACTCCAGAGTAGGACCCTGCATGGCCATGGACCACAGCTGTGGCTCCAACACTCAGAGCTGGGATGGGCCTGTGTCTGTGGTGGGCAACTCCAAGCCCAGGTCCCGTATCCGCATCCTGGGAGGCCCTGGAGGACGAGCTCTGCATCCACAAGAGGGCCTAAGTCTGGGGTCCCAGGCCCTTCTGGTAGGTTCTTGGAGGCTCGGTCGTTTTGATACCTGCTATTGTGACAGTGACCCCAAAGGGATAGAAAAGCTCTATTAATGACCCTTGGAGGATGGCTGGGCTGTTTCAAGCTGCCCCACACAGTTCCCCCAACCCTTCTGGCACGGGGTGCTTCCCTGGGCCTCATGGAGCAGTGGCCCTGCACGCCGGCACCATCTCAGCCTTGTCGCGTGCTTCCTTCTCACCCCAGAGGTCTCAGGTTGGTCAGAAGATGGGCCAAGAAATACACATTTGTTTCAAGTGAAAATCAAACACTGAAGGTCTAAACACATTTTTAGAGATTTTCTCCTTTAACCAGCTTTTTAAATTCCATCCTAGTCCAGGACAGCAGCCTTTCAGACAGGATGGAGGGGAGGGACTGCAGGAAGCACCACCTGTGCCAGACGCTGACGGGAGGGGCTGCAGGCCGCGTGCGCAGATCTGGGTGCTTCCCACAGAAAGCCGAGGCCCCTTACCCGTGCATTTGAGCAGGGTCTCCTTCAGCTCTCGTTTCTCCTTCCGGAGCTGAGCCAGGTGCCCCCGGATTTCTTCCTTCTGCTTCTCCAGCCTCTCCTTCTCCTCTGTGTACCGTTTCACCTCAGCTTCTGTCCTGTTCTTGCCCAGTTTGATCTCTATAGGAGCAGAGAGGGGCGCCCCTTAGGTCAGCCAGGCTGGCACAAGGGCTGTCCCCACCCACGCTGTGGGCTCAGACAGAACCCAGGGCTTGGCAGTAGATTAGAGCTGGACACCAGGCCAGCCAAGCAGGGACAGAAAAGGAGACTGGGCCTTTTCTTTGCTGTGTGACATTTAGCAAGTCCCTTCACCTCTCTGATCCTTTGTTTCCTCACCTGAAAGGGAGGGGATCAGGCTAACTTCTCTAAACCATTTCCCAAACATCCAACTCTTATCTAGGACAGACACCTACCTGCACTGGTTGCCTTCAGCCTGTCCTTCACAGGGGGGCTGGCCCCAGCTGGCGTGATGGCTGCAGCATCAGGGCAGCTTGGTGAGGAGGTTTTCTGCTGTTCAGTCTGGATCTTGACTGCTGCGAGTCTCAGGGAAGGCTCCTCGGGTTCCAGACTCTCCTGCTGCATCTGCTTTGAAATAAAGCAGGCACCACTCAGCTGGCTGAGGGGCCGGGAAGGTGACACCGGCTCATCTGCTGGGGGACAGCCTGTACCTCCAACTCAGGGTTCTCTGGAGGCTTCACGAGGGACTCCTCAAGGGCTGGGGCAGGGGCAGGGTCTGCAGGAAGGGCCTCAGCTGGAGGGTCCTGGTGGGGTGGCGTGGAGAGGGGGTCCTGGGCCTGGGCCCCGCCAGCGCCGTGCAGGAAGGACTTGACTGGTGTGAGGTCCAGGTACACCCGGTCGAGCTCAGGCTGGCTTGGAGCATCTGTCACAGGGGCAGCTTCCTCTGGGGTTTCCACCTGCACAGGAAAGGGTCAGATGGCTTTGAACATTGCCTCTGCTCCCCCCTGGGCCCTGCAGGGGACACGAGCCCTGCTGCAGAGCTCCAGTCCCTTCCTCGTGCCAGAGTTCGCAGGACCTTCCTCCTGGGGAGCCCCCTGCCGAGTTGGAAGGTCCGGGGGTCACATCCTGGGAGGTGGGAGACACAGGAGATGGTACTTCATTTTCCGGACCCTTATTTCCTCATCTGTAGAGGAGAGACTAGTAGTGCCTCTCTCTAAGGCAGCTGGGATGAAATGAGATAACCCACAGACGCCCTCAGCACAGCCCAGAGTCCCACGCCCAGTTAGTGGGACCTGCTGTCAGTGTGACGATCCTACCTCGGCTGTCAGCTTGAGCCTCAGAGACTAATGGTGTCTGGACAGCTACATGTACAAGAAGGAGATTAGAACATTTCCTCACACCCTATACAGAAAGCAACTCAACATGGACGAAAGACCTCAAACCATAAACCTCCTAGAAGGGAACAGAGGCAGAATGCTCTGTGACATAAAAGCAGAAGTAAACAGACGGTATTTAATTAAACTGAGAAACTTTTGCACAGCAAAGGAAACCACTGACAAAAAGAAAAAGCCACCTACAGAATGGGAGAAAAGGTTTGCAAATGATATGACTGACAGGGGGTTAACAGCCAAGATATATAAACAGCTCATACAACTCCATATCAGAAAAACATTTTTTAAATGGGCATAAGTCTTGAATGTTTTTCCAAAGACAAACAGATGGCTCACAGGCATGTAAAAAGATGCTGATCGATCATCACTAATTATTAGAGAAATGCAAACCAAAACCACAAAGAGAGACTACCTCACACCTCTCAGAGTGTCTGTCTTCAAAAAGTCTACAACTAACAAATGATGAGAACGTGGAGAAGAGGGAATGCTAGTTCGCTGCTGGTGGGGTGTAAACTGGTGCAGCCACTTATGGAAAACAGTATGGAGGTTCCTTGGAAAACTGAAAATAGAACTACCCTGTGATTCAGCAACCTTGGTATAGAACCAGAAAAAAGTGAAAAACAATTTGAAAAGATACGTGCACCTCAACATTTGTAGCAGCACTATTTACATAGCCAAGATACTGAAGCAACCCAGTGTCCATCAAAAGATGAATGAAGAAGATACACACATAGGCGCGCACACACTGGAATATTACACAGCTGTGAGAAAGAATGACATTCTGCCATTTGCAGCAAAATGGATGGACCTAGAGAATACTATGCTTAGTGAAATAAGTCAGACAGAGAAAGAAATACTGTATGATATCACATATACAGAATCTAAAAAATAATACAAATGAATACACAGCAGAACAGAAACAGACTCACAGAGAACTGGTAACTAGTGATTACCAGTGAGGAGAGGGAAGGAGGATTGGGACAAGATAGGGGGATGGGATTAAGACATACTGTATAAAACAGAAGCAACAAGGACATATTGGAATTATAGCCATTATTTTGTAATTTAAGGGCCTATAATTTATAGAAATACTGAATCACTATGCTATAACCTGAAACTAATATTGCAAGTCAACTACACTTCAGTTTTTAAAAAGGCTAATAGTATCGCCGCTCCCAATTCTCATACCACATCCTCCACCCTTAGAACTGACCAGAGTGGTTAACCAGCTGTTTTATCAAGCTGAGTCCCCAAGCCAGGCGGACGGCACAGCCCCACTGTACAAAAGATGACCTCGCTGCACCTCAGTTTCTGCACTGGTGGCCCTGCAGGTGACTTGGAAGCCATGCATCTCAGGGACCGCCGAACAGCCCCCAGGTTGCTGCCCAGCCAGCATCCTACCGCTGCCATCAGCTCTGACATCTCCACGTCGTCATATAGCAGCTCCTGACGATCCTGGCTGGGCAGGCCATCAATGTAAGTGTTCGGCTCTGAGAACTTCCTCTGCATCAGTCTGGAAGACATAGCGAGAGAGGATTCAGGGCAGGATGGTAAAAGCTACCAGTTTCAAAGGATTCACAACAGGGAGAGGTGCAGTGAAACCCGTGGGCTGTGCAGGAGACGGGGACCAGCACTGACCTCATTTTAAAACAAACCCAATTGTTTAGGGGTATCTCTTTCCTCTCTCTCCAGGGCGTTCTTACTAGAACTCCTGGTCCCAAATTTCTCTTCTAGAAGAACAAACTTCCTCTGTCTGTACCTCTCCTCCTAGGATCCTTTTGTCTCTTCCTACCCTGATTCCTCCCTTTCAGGATCTCCTTCCAACAACGACAAAATCCTTCCTCATTTCATGTTCACAGTACACTTGGGGCAGCACAGACCGGGTATTTTCCCCTTAAGAAAAGGTAAAGTTTCAGAGGCTCAGCCAGCTTCCACCAGTGCTGCCTCTGCCCCCCAGCCCAGGACCGCTTCTCCCGAGTCCCGGTTTGCTCATCCAGGGAGCAGAAGCAGCACCCTGCCCTGCTTAGTCCCGGCTGTGCTGGGACCCAGCGAGGGTCCCTGGGAAAGGGCTACGTGGACAGCAGGGAGAGCGGAAGGTCAGGAGAGGCACTGCCTCTGCCTTAAGGGGCTGGACAGCATCTAATCAGAGCCAGGGACACCATGGCTGCCCCCGGGCCAGAGGCCTGGCTCAGCTCCCTGAGGGCTGCTCCTGGCCCTGGCCTTCTGCTGCTGGCAGAACAGGGCTCACCCTGAGTTCCCAACTGCCGTGCTGTGCGACTGACCACCAGAGGCCAGTCAGGGGCTGGGTCCCGAGGCCCGGCTTGGAGTGGGAGGCTGCAAAGCGGGAAGGAAGCCCCTGATACTCACAGCAGAGAGGTTTTCGCGGCACTCACGATACAGGAAACCCTGTCGGCGTCCACATAGTCGTAGGTGAATTCTTCTGGGTCTGTCTTGGAGCCCGACTCAGAGAGCAGAAGGCCTAGCCAGTGGCCCATTTCCTCGGAAGTCTTGGCCTGGGAGGAGGTCGAGAGGGACATGAGCAGGGCTGGAGCGTGCTGCCTGGGGCCCAGCCCCTCCCTGCTGAGCCTGAACAGCACCCCTGCCCTGATGCCCACCCTGGGGCCACATTCCTTATTTTCACTAGCATATTCCATCACCTAGGGACCCCAAATAACATTTCCTGCTGTTCATACCCTGGTGCCACCTCAGTGACACTGTGACATTTGTCCCAGGTATCACATGTGATTCATAAACATTTCTAGAAGGCTCATGGACCAGGAGAGAATTGTTAGAATTTGTGTTTTAGGTTGATGCCTCTATTTTATGAATGATCACATTTTAGTTTATCACCCTAATCCACATATACAAAACTGCCTGGATCCCTGCTAAGAAATAACAAAATTCAAATTTATTTTTGTTCATGGTTTCAATAGTCAAGATGTCTTAAACACCTTACACCAGGTCAGCTAGCTCTGATAGATCATGAACCAAATCCCAGTAAAGTTGATGCCTGGATTTTCCCTAGGGGACAACACATTTTAATTAAATACGTACATTGGGTATTTCTATTAAAATTCCAACAGTGTTTCTTGGCTTTATAATGAGAAAGAACTGGGCAGTCTCTAAATAATCACACAACACAGCTCTACACCTCAGTGTTCCATTTTCATAGTCAGAGGGGCAGCTTAGAGGGGAGTCTGACATTTAGCTGGCTTCCTTTCCCCATTCATTTTCAAGTGCATTTCTCAATGCAGCTTTTCACGGGCCTCCCCTAGTTCCTGCTACCACCATCTTTGCCCGAGGCAATGAGAACAGCTTCCTAGCAGGTCTCATTTTATCCCTTCCTGTCCCCAACCCAGCCGGTGGAGGGAGCATCTTGAAAGCAAAATCGGAACCTCTGAAACCCTTCGGGGTCTCCCGCTGCTCTTAGAATCGACCCCTCTTCCCTCCCCTTGTCACACAGGCTCTCGCTCCTCCAGCCCCTACCACGTGCACTTTTGCACATACAGCACCGGCCCCACTGCTTTCCAGCAACTGTACCTAAGCAATCAATTGGGAAGTTAACTGAAAAACACATCACTCTTGTATTAAAATGTAAGTTTCATAACAGGGAGCAGATCTGTCTTGTTCATATATTGTATCCAGTAGGTATCTGTAAACAGGGCAGATGGGTGTATGGATAGAAGCTTGCCCCTGGGAAGCAATTGGGATGTGGATCTTTTAGCCACCAGAGGGCAGTACTGGAGCAAAATTTGGATGAAGACCCCTGGATGCAGGCAGGACTAGGTGAGCAGAAGTGAACCATGGTGTGTGCTTCGGTGCATGTAAAGCCCTCTGGCTCAGGCCTGCCCAGCTCACTGCAAAGCATTACGTCACTTCTATTGTCATAAATGTAACATAACCTCAAACAGAGGGTGAGGAGTGGGAATAACTGTATCACAAAGCTTATTGTCCCCCCAGATAAGCCCTAACACTCAGCATTTTTATGTACTGGGCCCCATCTGGTGATACACAAACGAAATCACAAACCCACTTTGAATCCCCAGAAAGTTTTTCCAGCAGCTGGGGGAGTTATAAATACTTCTGCCCTAAGTACAGGAAATAGCTCATTGTCCCCGCTCCTGTAACACAACCACCCCTGAGGTCAGAAAGGGAATGGAAATTTTTTTTAAATGCAAACAATCTCAGGCAAAGGAAGTAAAAAATAAAGCGCAGCTATGTTGAATCTCACATTGTGGGACTGCAGGCCCCAGGACTCGAGGCAGGCAGCTGTGACCCACGTGCCCTGGCTGTGCCCGCCTGCCCCCACCTGGCCAACGTGGTACCTCGAGCTTGGCCAGCTCCTCGCCGTTGTGCAGGATGCGGAAGGAGTAGAGGTGGTCGGGGCTCGGGTCCGGAACCACCTCACAGCCCACCAGGCTGAGGGGCTGCTGGGCTGCCTTGCTCCGGTTCCGGTCCTGGTAGAAGTACAGGTGACTGTCCCTAACGGAGCACCAGCGCGACTTCCACTGGCTGTTCACCAGCACGTTCAGGTAACCTGCGGGGAGGGACATGGATGTGGGTGGGTGTGGGCGGCCGAGGGTGCCCAGGGCTGCCCCTGCCCTGGCCTCCGGAGAGGCTCCTCTGGAATCTCAGTTGCAAGACGTGTCGTGCTTCGCCTGAGAACTCCTGACCCCTCAGAGGCTGTGAATCTCATATTCTTTGTCCTTTTGCATTAGCAGCTAGACCCTTTGCAGGCAGGTTCCCTGGCCCTGCTGGATTTTGAAAAAGGTGTGTCCAGGGGAAAGTGAGCTGTGTCTTGGGCCAGACCAGGAAGGGGGTGGGGGGGTGTGTGTAGGACATGCCTGTCCTGCAGCACCCCGCCTCCCCACCTCTGCCAGCCATGTGCAGGCAGCTCACCCCAGCCGGGGTCTCCTCGCTGCAGGTGCAGTCCCCTTACCTCCACAGCCTTAGCTTCCTCAGCTCCCTGGACAGCCGTGCCATCCCTGGGTCACTCAGTCTCAGCCTGCAAAGTCCTCCCCATGGTCAATTCCTCCTCATCTTCCCAGAAACATCTGGCCTTGGCCCTGCCTGGCTCCTGCCCTCCCTATTCCGCTGGCCTTCAGACACCTGAATCCTGGAACAGTGAAACTCTGCTTCCCTGGCTGCCTTCCACCCGGACACAGCTTGTCAGGGCAAGAACTTGCCACCTTCATCTCCAGTGCTCGGGTCTGTGCCCTGTGGCCTCCCCAGCAGGGAGCCCTTCTCTCCCTGCTGCACACAGGGGCTGTCAGCCCTGGGATGTGCCCGTTGTACAGTCCCTTCCTGTTTTTAAATGATTGTCAATGTTGGGTTCAGCTTCCCAAGGAGAGGACAAGCTTTCTCCCCTCCCCACCCCAACTTAGCTGAACATTTCCAGAGCTGACACCCTGTGCCAAGCGGAGCCTTGTCCCTAGGGCTACAAAGATGAGTAGAAACCCAGGACCCTTTGCAGGAGATTGACATCTGCCTGTGCTGCTCACCTTCCCAGAGGCACTGGCTTACCAAGTGGGTGCCTTCTCCATCCTAAGGGATTGGCAACCGCTCTGAACCTTGGCTGAGATGAACGAGGCCCATATAGCAGGTCAAAGTGCACAGCCACCTTTGCGTCCAGCCCGGTGCTGGCCACACAGTGGGATCATGAACTTCAGAGCCACAGGAATATCATGTCACAGTAGCAGAGTGGAAGACTGAGCCCAGGACCTAGGAACTGGCTCATTCAGGCAGGCACCCCATTCGCCCATCACAATTCTCTGGACCAAAGAGAACTCTGGGTTAAGAGGGGCGGGGAGCTCAGATGCCAACTCCTGGGAAGGAGAGTGTGTTCTCTCTGGCCTTTCCCCAGCCACAGGGGACAGGAGCATGCTTCGCTGCTGAGTAACTGCCAGCAATAACCCAGCCACATCTCCCAGAGTGACTCACTGGCCAGCCTCCCATGCCCAACGCCGTGCCCCCTGAGGCCGCAGGGGCTGGCGGAGCTGAGCTGCTAGCTGGCACCCTGGCCGGAGAAGCAGGAGGCTGTACAGCCCATCTGCCGCCTTCCCAATCCGCCTGCCACCCTGCCGGCGGCAAGACACAGAGCTGAACTGGGACTCAGGAGAGGAGCCCAGGGTGGGACGTGGGCTCCACGAGGATGGAGAGGCCCAACGATGGGCAGTAGTGGCCTTCAGGGCCTGGTGGGACCTACAGCAATAAGCTCCAAGTTGGAAACCAGGATATTTTCTGGGCAAGGTCTCTGTCTCCTACTGGCCTCAGTGTCCTCAAGGCTGAGTAGGGCAGCAGAGGGCCTCCCCGGGCCCACACACGCCCTCCACCAGAACATGGAATGTTCTTGTCCGCTTAATGGCTCTCACCTGTCTCCCTCTCAGAGTCTTGCATCCCAGCCCATTCAGCTCCTACCCCATCCTTCAAGGCGCAGGTCCACAGAGCAAGAAAAGTCATTTCTGTCCCTGACACCGTGGAGCTACTGACGCGGCACCATACGTGGTTACGGGTATAAAGCCATCATCTTTCTTGAGCTGGAAGCTCTCTGGACTGTGTCCTCCCCCTGCCGGGTCCCCTTTGCCTAACATGGTGCCCATAATGTTCCATGGATACTGATCACATGAACATAACTTTAAAGACAGGAGAACAGCAACCGATTACCCTTTCCACAAGGGAGCCAGCACTGCAGCAAGAGGTCTGGTGAGGCTTCAATAGCTCCCTGCAGTGCAGTGGAGACCAACAGAAGCCGTGCGCCGTGGGCTCAGCAGCCCCAGAGGCGGTAAAGCCAGGCCCCAGGCGCGTGCCTCTGCCGTCCGAGCTGCCTTCCTGGCGGCAGGCTCTGGCCCGGGGTGGCTGCGGGTCTTACTGGATGTTTCGAAGGACCGGTCCGGAGGCTCCAGCGAGGTAGACTTCTTCCTGCCCAGGTTCATCAGGTTGCTCAGCTTGAGGCCAGCAGAACATTTCTTCTTGACTGTCAAGAGGAGAGAAAAAGCCGAGTCAAGATTCCCCAGTGCCGACGGGATGGGGACAGGGCTGCTGGGTTTTTCCCGTCTTTCACGAGGGCACGTCGGCCGTCTGTGTGCAGCGCTGATGGCTTTTCCACATCAGTGCTGGGGAGCCTTCACAGACTCAGAGCTCTGAACCAGGCTCAGCGAACGAGAAGAGATGAAAGAACACCCCGCCCCTGGCAAGTTATGAACCTTCACTCGGGCTTGATCCCCACGCCCGCTTGCCGGCGTCTACCCGCTGCAGTTTTCCCCAGCAGTTTATAAACTGGAGGCATGTGGAACGGGCTGTAAGAGCCCATTAGGGTTGAGCCAGACAGCTGAGCCTCGCAGCCTGGGATGCCGCCCCGCTCCCACCCCAAGGCGAGCGCCACAGCATCAATACCGTCTCTGGTCTCTGGGACCTCAGGGTGGCCATCTGTAGAGCTTCCACACTCCGAGGCTGACAGGTACTTCTCGCTTATATCTGGCTGTGGAAGAGAGAGACCAGTGGGTGACCTTGTCTGGGGATGGTTACCTCGGAGACCTCAACTTAAGGGAAAATAACGGAGGACTCTTGGGTGCAGGCCTGGGGTCACCTTGGAGTCCAAGTCACTGGTGGGACCTTCCCAGGTTCTCCTGGGGCTCCCTGGAGGACCTGCCTTTGCCCTCCTTTCTAAGGTTCCCTGCCCCCCTTCTTCAGGCCACCACGCATCCCTGTTCACGAGTTCTCCAGATGACTGTTCAACCAGACGTGATAGCAGCCCCATTGCCAGCGGGCAGGGCAGGGAACCAGCCCCAGGGGCGCGTTAGAGTCAGCATCGCACCTAAAGCTGTCAGGCTGGGAATCACCCACAGCAGGGGCACAAGGTCGTCTCTTGAGAATCAACATGTTACCAACACACAGGCTTTGGAGAAGGGTTGGCTTGTCCACAGAGTCAGACCCTGATTCGAATCCCACCTAGAACATTCTCTCATTATACGCCTCTCTAAGCCCCACTCCGCATGTGTATAAAATAGGGATGACATGCCTGCCTGCGTTCCCAGGGCTGCTGGGGGACCAGAGACAGTCCCTGAGGGGTCAGTAGCTGCTGTTGTGGAAGGTGAGACACTCAGAATATGCCCATCAAGCTTCTACTATAACCACAGACCCAGACCTATGGGAAACAGGCCCAGGGACTCCCAACCAACAGGGCTTTGCCAGGGACCAGCAACAGCAGTATCTGGCCGGGGAATCTGCGTGCCAGGTCCTTAGGGGGAGCTCTTGTTTCTCACCCCAAAGTGAAGAAATCCCAAGTTGACTTTGTTTTCTTGTCAATGACCAAGGAATGAATACAACAACGAACATACTGGCCCCTCTTGGGTCCCTCTAGAAGGGCTGTGGGTTTTTCTCCATGAAGGGTGGCCGCTACCTCCCCGTGGAGCAGGGGGCCTCCTCCCTGCTCGCGGCCTCTGCCCACCTGCCTGCCGGTGGTGGGGACCCCAAGGTGAGACATAGGGACCCTCTGCTCTGTGCCTACCAGGCTTCTGGGCTCCCACCTGGGAACGTGGACTGTGACTCCGTGGGTGAGGGTCCTCCCCTTGGCCAGCCCCCAGCCCCATGCCCCGACATCGACCCTGAAGCCAGTCCCCACTGCCCCAAGCGGATGAGCACTAGAATGCTTTGGGGTCAACAGACGGCTCCCCCAGCCCCGGAAGCTCTACTGGGGAGTGGGTGGGAAGGAAGAGGCTTGAAAAAGAGATCTCCCTGCCCAGGTGCCTTTCATCCCAATAACGCTTCCCCCAAGCAAGACAGTACCGCAGGTTTGTATTCTCTTCATCTGTTTCCCAGCTAAGCCTGCCGCCCAGGACGGGTGCTTCTTATGAACTGGGCTGTAGTGCGAAAGCAAAGCTCCCAACTTTACACCTTTAATTTTTACCAAAAACTGGACCTGAGCTCTTCCGGGCAGGGCAGAGGCTTACTTTCGGACTGCTCAGGCGCTGGGTGTCTGCAACGTACTGGTTTCCCTCGCACGCTCCTTCGGAAGGCAGGCCGCTTACCTCCTGGATGACCTGCAGGAAAAGGAAGGCCCTTCAGGCCGGCACTCATGGCCAGAAGCCCCTCTGGGTCAGGGGAGCGGGTGGGGGTGGGAGAGGGGACTTGAGATTTCCCAGGAGCAGAGCACCCCTCCCCCCACCACGCCCACGTGTGGCCTCGGTGTCCAGCCGGGTGGGGCTTGTTCCTGAGGCCCCTTCAGCTGCAGGCCCCCAGGTGTTCTGGGGTGTGCTGGGGAAGGGAGGGTGGGCTTTGCAGCAAAGCCTGAACACGGCCAGAGTAGCCAGCCCTCAGCTCCGTGCGCCCCCTCTGGCCCCATCCTGGGCGGGGATGGCTATTCAGTCCTGGAGGGAGAACTGCGTTTGCCAGATGGCCCCCTGGCTCACTGTGGAGTGCCTCCCCGCTGCCCTGGTCCCACTCGGGCTCCCAGCCTTGCCTGCCACGGGCCACCCACCTCCTGAAGGGAGGAGCCTTTTAACTGACTGACGATGCCTCACTGGAGGCCAGCAGGTAAATGGATTTCCACTAGTGCCCACGCCCAGGGGACTGAGGGGACCAGACCCAGCCACAGGGCGCTCTGACCCACTTCCTGCAGACAGAGCGCTACCAGGAAGCCCTGCGAACTTGAAGGACCGCAGGCCCTTTACCCTTGATGACACCTATCCCCTTTGGAGGAAGCAGGGGGTGGGGGGTGGGCAGAGCCGCAGGAGCTCCCAGTCCCAGAGGGGAGCAGCCTGCTTCCCCAGACAGCTGGCGCCTCCCTCACCCGGAGCCACTGCTCGGCTTGGTCCTTGCTCTGTAGGCCCAGCACGATCACGTCGGCGTTCAGCGGCGTGATCTTCAGCTTGTGCTCCTTCTTCCGCACCTGCTTCTCCTTGTGCACGACGCTGCTGCCCAGCAAGCTCACGTCCAGCTGGGGGCTGTGGTCCTTGGAGGATTTGTAACACTGGAAGGAGGAGAGGCGAGCCGCTGCTTGGCCAGGGGTCCGGGTTCTGCAGGCGAGGGGGCCCCTGGGCAGCACGGGACCCCGAGAGCCGGGCCCCTGCCCAGAAACACTGGAAGGCCGGACACCCTTCAAGTGCAGAGCTGTAACCTCAAATATTGGCCACGCCT